ATAGGGTCTGCACCATTTCCTATTACCGTTCGGAGTTAAAGGGAAGGGAGAACCAAGAAATGACGTCATGGGCGCATTTTTCTATTCCTCCCTTCATCACCGCCTCTGAAGAAAGGAAAGAAGGGGGGGGGGCATGCCAAAGATGTCGTATCCTAGCTATGTCCACTAATCTGGAGCGGCACCTACGAGGCACTGTCACCGATGGTGCACATTCCCCACCGTCTATGGTAGATGTTCTCGTTCTTCTTATCCTCTGGATTTGCATTTCCTTCACCGGACATCACGCCGCACGCTCTTTTCTAACACGATAAGTTGCATCCCAGCAGCGGCAATCTATTGCGGCCTTCTGCCAGGAACATCGCCGGTGACATACATCACAGCAATATTTTAGATGTATATTTGAACAAGTTAAGAGTTTTCTCGTGTTTTCAAGGCACTAACAAGCGGTGTGGTACCGTCCCTTGTATCTATCTTCGGAAACTTCTTCGCTTCGGAGAACATAGAAGACAGCTGGGTGACCTATGCTGCATCTGCCGGACAAAGGTGGGTGGTTTCTTACTCTTCACTTTTGTCCCACTCAGTGCTCCTGTCTTTTAGCCAGTTTCCTTCAAGGTGGATCATAAATAAATCAGACCTGCTATGGAGAATAATGTTCTTTACAAAATCTCGGTGCAATGGAACTTAGGGAGGGGTAGGGGTGCCAGGCAGAGCAGGTTGATGTGATGCTTACCTGTGCCCCTGGCTGAACAGTGGAATGATGCATTACTCTTTTCAGTGCCTCAGGAAGACGTAACAAGGCAAGCAAAATTGACAGGACGTGACATATTCGCGCTGTCGCCTGGCCCTCATTTAAGGGCACACCATCACGTTGCGTAGGATTTTTGCAGAGTACAACCCCCATCAACCAAATGCGACCCCCCCCTCCATGGAGTTCTCTGGAGTTCTCCCAACAATGCAGTAAATAGAGTGCGCAAGACGAGAAAAACCAAGTATCAGGAGAATCTACTGCAATATACATTCACCTCTCCAGCGGTGTATTCAACCCCCGCTACGTTTTACAAAACACACATGTGCCCTACCCCGACCACCTCTACCCTAATGGTAAGATCTCAAAGAGTTTCGTATCAATCAGCCGATCAGAAGTGCTGGAATGAAAAGGACCGCCAGGTAGGCAGAGGAAGCGACAGGGCTTAGATCCTCCTGGTCGTGCCACTGAAAAGCGGTGCCTCTGATCTGTATGCTGGCCGCTGATTTCCAGTAGCAATTTAGAATTTTGAAACATCTCAGCTTTTCTACTTTCGACTTCATCTGAGTGATTTCGAGAAACTCCATTCAAGTTTCATATGGTTTAGGATAATGTTCTTTGGCGACGATACATGGATTCGGCTATTCCCGAAATCTTTTGCTGAAGCAGAGGGAGTGACGTCGTTTTTCGTAAAAGATTATACTGAGGTACCTCAATTCTGTTGTCTTGGTCTAGTTATACTTTCCCCGGACTTTTTGTCAATCCCTACCATTATTTCTATTCCCTTTCCCTGGCATACTTTAATCATCGAGTAAGCAGTGAGCGTGCAGGACACGAATATCCGTTTGAGAGCTTAAATTTTTTGGGGGTGATAGGGCTACACCTTACTGTGGTACAGTACCTTTCCTTTTAAGTCGGGAGGGTAGTTTGGTCCGCGACGAACAACCTTGTACAGGTTCCACGGCTAGAGAAATTGTAAAGAAAGAGCGCTATAGCGCAATATAAGTTTGGTGACACCTCCTTTTTTTCGGTGACTCCGCCTCCATACTCCGCCTTCAAGGCCCGCTTTTTCAGTGAAAAGCGAAGCGGCAGGACGAAAGAGCTATGGATAAGCGTAACCTTATACGGTCGGGTAAGAGTTCTTATCGGGGAATAAGCTGTGGGATGATACGGTAGTGTTGGAGGTGGAGTTCAATTGGGTGTACAAGAGGATCGGAACGGGTTCTATCGGTAGGGTTTTTTATCTGCCTTTTTTCTTCACTATCGACTTACCTCAGGCGCCTTGTCGTCTATATGCGAACCCCTAAATCCGATGAGAATAGATCGCGAGTTATTGTCCTGTTGATAGTGCCACGAATGGAAGGCTGGCTTTATAAATATGCTAAGCGCACATTTCCTTTGAAGGCATTGTCTGAGATGCCGAATAGGCGGAGCCAAAAACAACATCATCGTTACGTCCCTCTCCTTCGTGCCTTTTACCGTTACAGAGGGGCGGAGAGACGAGCGCACCAAGAGCGTCGCTCCTCTCCGCCCACTCAGCAGTTGTGAACTGTGTCTCGAAATTCAAAATTTTCCTTAAATTACATATTTCAAGGCCGACATAAGTTTTGGCATATTCTATGGGCGTAGGTCGATAAAAATGTCACCCGTCATTTGGATTCAGTACTGAGGGATCGGAACTGGGATGTACTGATACTTCATTATTTGGGGTTAGATCACATAGGTGAGAACACCTTTGTTTTATGGCAGTTCAACTTTTCCCAGAATCGGTCATTTGTTTCTCATTCTAGTAGTCATATACCCACTTTTAAGGGCATTCCCTTGGTGGCAGATCGCCACAAATCAAGGAAAAACTCAAAGAAATGGACAGGATTGCTCAAAGGATATTCGACATCGTTTCGGTACGTCCTCGACTATGATATGGCGCAACTACGAGCAATGACCAATTTCATAGCTTTTTGAAATCCATCGGAATTGATTTTAAAGAAGAAATGCTGTTCAGGCCCAATCGCCTCTTCTCCTGGTAGCAGTGGGCGATCATGGCATGACCAATGCCGGCTCCCATGGTGGAGGAAGTGAAGCTGAAACGAAAGTTCCAATGGTGTTTTTGCACTCTAAAGCAAGCATCAAGCTGGCTGGAAGTATGGATGGTAAGTTCTCAAAACTGCAGATATGCTTGTTGAAAAAGTTTAACGATGAAAAATTGAGATAGCCTATGAAATTTGCCGCATTACAGGTTTCAAGTCAGCAGAACAAGTTGATTTGGCCAGCACGCTTCCGTTCTTTCTTCGTGTGCCGATTCCGTCGGACAGCATAGGTGTGTCCCTGATTCCACAGCTTGCTTCCCACTGGCAGCTGAACGACTCGAACGTCTTCTCTGCTGCTTTGCAATCAGCTATTCACTACTCCAAATTTGCAGATGGTAAGTTGCTTTTCTTTTGCCTCTTCACGACCGGGACCATACTGGTAAGTATGAGTTGCGATTTCCCTTTTGCAAGCTTTCGATTTTTGCCCACATAGTGTGTGCGAAGCCAGGGCCACCACACACGTGCAAACGGGAGTGGCGGACATTGCAGGTAAGGCGCGCCGCCCACCAATGACCAACAGTGATCAGTTGTAAGAAAGCCTCTATCAGACCCTTCTCTGCTTGCCTCGTGCCGAGCGTGGGAACGGCGAGGAACGTTTGTCAAATAGGGCTAAGACTTTTCATAGGCGGATGCATATAGGACCATTGGCAAGGGAGGACAATAGACAAGCTCAGCGAAAGATCATCCAGGCGCAGGAACAGGCGTTTCGATGGCCAATCTTCGTCTCATTGGTCTTAATGCGTCTAGGAGTTTCTTCGTGCCCCTTAATCGGCACAGCTTCTTTAGCCGCAGTCTGAATCTGACTTTGAAGCAGAAGTAATTATATTTGCCTGATCCCGTTTTCAGAGTTTTCCATTTTCGTTTCCGGTGCTTTACGCAGATCTACACTTCTGGACGTCACACATCGCGGACCGTGGTAAGCTCTATAATGAGAGTCCACGCTTATGGTGTGGGTGTGGTCATGCCTTGTGCTCATTCGTGCATGCTTCCTTCCTGAAACAGCAGAAAGGAGCAGTGCGCTAGCGAGGAAAGGCTGACTCCTCCCACACGACCAAGGCTGACTGCGCCTTCCATGTACTACTGATAAGTGAGCTCTGGGCTTACCTTTAGTGTGTCCTCACTAGCAATTGCTAGCAATTTTCAATGGGGATTTTCAGGTTAAGTCGATCATTGACATATTTTCTTACCCATGAGCCCTCAGAACGTTTTACTATGCCCATGATCCTTCGGCCAACTTACAGGACGTGCTCCGAATTGTCTGACTACTTAGCCTACGTCGTTTTTGTCCTCTACCATCTCTCATCCTATTCGACAAGTCTTATTGAGGAGGAACACGATATTTGGTTAGTTTTGGAAGTTGTTTTGTTCTCGGAGAGCCGAGGACTAAGTGGATGCGTTCGCACGCGAACCGCGCCGAGCACAGATTTGCGAACGAGTCCTGCGTCAAACAAGTTTTCCATCTACGCCTGGGTAGGGTGCCTAGTGCCACCGCAAAAGTATATAATCGCGACGTGGACAGTTTTTCGAGAAAGCTCTCCTCCCCTTCCCCAACTTCCGGTGAGCGATTGGATTGGTGTGGACATATAGCCCTGATCGTGCAAATCCTTGGATGTGTCAGTAGTGGGGGAGGGCAGGGAGCAGGGCTTGACCCGGCTCAGCTTCAATTGTAGTAGCTGTCAGCTTCCTGACCCTAGCCACCAGCGAACAAGCCGGTATACCCTGAGATGTGGTAGGCGTGGTTACGTTCTTCATTTGAGCGCAGCCACGCCTACCACATCTCAGGGAAACTGTAGCGTACATAATATCGAGTACGGTAAAACATCGACATCACCGGTTCATTGGTCCTAGAGTGGGAGAGAGATGGGAGGGTGTTCTGGAGCAAGAGTACCCTTACTAGCCAAAAACGACCTTACTTTCCTCAAAAGGAATGGGTGCCTTGTTTACGTTTGGGAATATGAAAACGTTAAATTGTACGTCAACTTGCACTCCTGATAATCCCTTTTTGTTTAAGGTATTACGTTTCTTCAACGTTATTCTGCACAAAATGGCTACCATAGTAAGAACTCCGGAAAAATCTGGATATTCTTCGGAAACGGTACGTTCTTCTTGTACTTGTGGAGGTTTCACGTTTCGAGCGAAATAGTCGCTGGCTTTCCAAGATGGTACAAAGTAAGGCAGCCACTTTCCACGCTAATGAATATGGGGGCGCCAACTCGCTGAGCATTTCCTGCTTTTTGCCAGCGCGCTTAAACTTTGAGAGCGGCGTTGCACTACTATGTCTTCACCGTTTGGCAATGAGCTTCACGTCCCATACCAGGAGAAGATGGTCGATGAGACAAGGTGGCTTAACCATGTTCCGGGCCTATACCTACAGAATAATACCGCTTGCTTTTTTAGATGTTCTACCCCCTCCAATACTGCCTGAATTCCGATTCAACGTCCAATTACTCGAGCACGACTTTAATGACAGATTCTCACTTAGCAGAGCTCGCCGAAATGGGTATGTCTAGCCTTGGTAATCGCGCCTCAGCCCTTCGGAGGAGCGGTGTCAGGGACCGTGGATTGAGCCCCGACTCGCGGTTGCGTTTTCGCCATATAGATTGTCGTTTGAGAGAAAGGAATCAGAACGCGTGGATACCTCATTTCCACGCTTACTGATCGCGAAGTGCGCGACGACTCCAGCTGCACGTTTATAACGGTAAATGGCCAGCTTGGCATCCAAATTTGAATGGAAATTGAGTGTGTGGCTCATTCCAACGTATTCGTAGAATAGATCTGTACAGTATGCTAAACTGATATCATCTGAGAGACTTCTCGTGCGCTATTCGACTTGGGAGGGGCTAGTCACCAATTTCGAGAGGGCTCTTCAATTTTCATAGGCGGTTTGGGGAGACGGACACAGAAAAATCGTAGCTGGCGTCGTCGCGAATGCGATCGCCCGATGTGCATAAGTTATGTCAAACTTGGAGGGCAGAGAAACTTAATATGAATCTTGAGTGGAGGCAAGGACTCCATGTTCGAATGTGGGTCAACCTCATCCGCCACAGGCCCCCCTCCTTCACGCATGTAAAGAGTCGAATACAGTCAGCGCGGAGACGAAACCATCCTCGTCCTCGGCCGCGCATCCTCAGCTCATCGCCGCACCAGCGCGGCTATAAACGGAGTCTTGTCACATACTGTTGGTTCAACCTAAGGAGCTACATCCTGTCCCAGAAATCTGGTGGCTACTTCAGCCCCGAGGCAAAACTGTCGACTGGCACCGCATATAGCGCCACATAACGTAGCATATTAATATTACTGGATTTTAGGATGCCGTTACAAAACAACAGTGGCTTTATGTGTTGATTATTTGGTCGGACGGATTTGCGCGTCGCCGAGAAACAGACGCATTTTTCTGGTATTACGCCGTGTACTGCGCCATATGCTTGGCAAACATTTTTGACGACAGCAAATCGGTATAGTCCAACTTTCTAATGGGAAAAAAGAGTTCCTGCGACAGCAGTACTGTCCTCATTTCAGGTTCATGATTGTCTACTTCATAATCGGAGGAGTGTCATCATAATTGCTGTCGTCTGCATACGCGTTTGGCTGTTATATTGTACCTGAGCTATTTAGTTCGTCCGGAGACACTTCCACTGCTCATTATTTCCTTTGAAATGGGTGTTCGTGCAAGAAGAGTGTCCTGCTCGGCCATATTATTATTTACGTTATCTTCTGTCGACAGCTGTTTCTTTTAGCAGCGGTATGTTAACCACTGTATCGTGGTTCTTTTACAGGCTGTATGTTAAACGCCCTGATAGACCATTGGGGAATTTATGTTCTCTCATCTATTCATCATCTTTTCTCGATTTCAGGGTCAATCAAATAATATCTCATCAATGGATGTCGCTGTTGGCTTCAAAGGTCTTTCTTCCTACATCGCTTCATTCGGCTGACTTCAAATTGGGCGTTAAATTTTACGTGCACACGCCATCGATGGTTTTCGCTAGGATATTTGTAAGTTGACCTTCGAAGAGTTAATTTATACAACTTGCAGTGGTCGGTTCAGGTTCCATTAGGGTCTACGTGACGAGCAGCAACTGGGCAGTATTTTGCTAATTCACTCAACATGATGAGCCCTGGTGTGAATGTCGCGCGCGCGAAGTTACCCATAATACCTTCCGCCACATCGTCGCAATGTAGATTTCTCGAGCGGTACCTCTACACACGCAAACAGACGTCATCATATCAGAATAGTGAACCCCACCACCGAGCGGGTTGAACGCTAAATAAAAAAACTTCCTAAAGGGCACAATGGGTATGTGACAAGAGAATCGTAATTCACCGCGCTGGTAGGCGTCGCGTCCGCACGTTGGTTGTAGTAGATGGCGACAACAGGCAATTCAGAACCGAAAATAGTCATGAATGTCTACGATGACGGGGTCTACATGAAGTCCGGTGCTCGACAGGTTAACACGAGTTAAGAAAACGCCGCGCCCATCGCCGCGCGCGGCGGAGCGGCAAATTACGATCCCTTGCCCGTCTCCCGGGCAGAAGACTCAAAGTCCGGCGAGAAATCGCAGGGAGGGTTGTACAGAAGGTAGAGGTCGCTTCCGGTAAGTCCCGTAACCTCTCGAATATGGATAATTTCTTGTAGAAGCTTAAACTGCAATTAAAAAAAATCAAATTTCAGCTGGAACACTGCCAATCCATTGGAGGAGTCCAAAGAAGACAGCCATGGCGCTCTTGTTCTCGCTTCTTTTCTACAATTACGATCTCTAATGTTATTTTCTGCCATTATGAGTATGATTTGTCTTTCAGGTCATTTATTCACATTCAGTGTACTCGCTCCAAAAATGATTTGCGAGGTTTTTCACACCATTACTGGTTTGGGTATTACGGGTGTCATATCATTTGTGCATATAATAATGTATGGGCCCAAAACTACTTAAATTAAAGCTTTTGAAATTCCCGCTTTAGCATCACTCATTTCAGATTTCAGCTTACAACCTTCCCTAGTCCTTTTTGAAGTGACCCTAATTTGTCATCTTCTGTGTTCTTCTCCCCCCCCTTGAGCGATAACCCAGCAACCACCAATGAGTAAAGCATCGTAAAAACATTTTTTTACACAACAGGAATATTTCATCAAATGGAACGACAATATATTAAGAACAGATAACAATACAATCCCGCTGCACCTTTACAGAAGCCCTTGTCTCTTGAGATCTTCATACATTTTCCGTGTCACGACATTTCCAGCTGAATCTTCGAATTCTTCATCGTTGTCGGGATTCCACCTCTGTCGTTCCTGTACGTAGCATCATTAATGCAATTAAAATACTTTCAAAATATCTCATTATTGTACTGTTTAGAAGT